CGCCATCTACTGAAGCCCATATGCTGGTTTGCTCAGCACAACAAAAGACCCACCAAGATCTCCGCCCTCCAGTGGCAAATAGAACACAAGTGTCTACCAACTAAGGATTGGCTGATAGATCATACCCACCTGGAGCAACAAGGGAAGGCACTGCCATGGTGTCATCGATGTCTCCAAAGTTACCCTGGGGGGAGACGGGCCGAAACCATTGAACACATTTTCCTCCAATGTCCCGCGTCTGTACTACTGTGGAGAAGTTGGGATAGAATCTGGCGACACATAGTTCCCGGCGCAGTATGGCCATAGGAGTGGAGAGCCATACTTTTGGGACATTTCCCTCCAATACGGGGGAAGACATTTGAGGAGAACATGTTCAATCTGGGTAGACGGAGTGTGCTATGGACTATATGGTGGAGAAGATGTTGTTTGGAGTTAGAGGGAGCATGGGTGGAGGACGGAGAGGCGATGGATCAAATTCGGACGTTGATTCATTATGAGCTGGCGGCACAATGGAAGAAAACTAAAGACAAGCTCGACCAAACGTCCTCCTGGGGAGACATGAACCGGATCATTGCTACCTTCTGGACTGGGCTGGGGGGGGAAAGGGAGGGATGGGTGGCAGCAGTAAAGTGGACCGGTCGCCGGACAGAGAGAGAAGCATGAGGGGAACCCCGGGCAGGAATAATAAGGGACTATCAGTTGATCTTTCGCGACTGGACCAAGATAGACCCCGGCTCCCCGTTACGTCCCGCCCAGGACTTCGCATATCCATTCCTACCCCATCAGTTGTCCTTGGCAGAAATCTGGCCGCCTGCATAAGCTCGGACTGAGAAGCGTCCAGAAAGTCTCAGAATACTTCAGCTGTGCAGCAGAGTTCAGCGCAGCTCAGAGCAGCCTTGTTCAGCCTGGTTTTCAGCCTGTTTTCTGTCGCTCTTCGCGTGCCCTTTGTTTTGGTTGGCTGAGGCTAGGGGAGGGAGGGAGGTCAGCGCAGCCCAGAGCAGCCTAGTTCAGCCTGGTTTCTCAGCCTGTCTTCTGTTGCTCTTTGTTGCTCTTTGTTGCTCTTCCAGTCCTTCCAGCCTGTACTGCAGCAGATTTCAGCGCAGCTCAGAGCAGCCTGGTTGAATATGGGACGCTGGACCCGGTTTCCAGCACATTGCCGTCACTATATTGATGTATTGTTTTGCAAAGATGTACTTAAGGGACGCTGGACCCGGTTTCCAGCAGGTGCTGCTCCCCACCAATAGATGGAGCGGCCCGCTAGATCTAGATGTGTATAAGAGACAGCACACACACACACACACACAGAGCGAGCGAGAGAG